AGCAGGAGAAGTGCAGATGAAAGAGGAAGTCGGAGGCAACCAAAAGGCCGACCGTGGTGCACGTCCCCCTGAACTCACCATGTCGTTGTCGTTGACCACCATCAGCTCGATATATTTGGTCTCGGTCTGGACGGGGGGTTTTCGAGGAGATCTCTTGGATCTCCTCAGGCCTGCAGACGTCTGCTGCTGCTCCTTCATTTGGTCCGGTCTGTCGTCATCACCTCCTCCGTTGTCCCACTCGCTGTCCTCAGCGCAGTCTGCAGCCAGAGAAACGGTCGACTGTTTAAGCAGTTTCTGGTCATTTTGTTATTTGCTCCTGTCACATGCAACATAAAGTCCTGCACCTCTATGGAAATAACACAACTGTGGCTAGAAAGAGAGAGAGCTCAGAGATGTCCTCAGTGCAGTATAAAGTTAGACTGCTAGAAATCATGAAAAACAAAAGAAGAAGTGGTGTTTTTTGTTGTTGTTTTTTTTACCAACAAAAAAAGAGTAAAAACTCTGAATCAACTTGTACAAAAAGTTTTAGCCAAAAAATCCCAGAATTTTGGTGACATGACTGTTAGTCACAGCTGAGTCACTTAAAGCTTCACAGTTATGCTGAGGACCGCAGAATCCTTGTTTGATTTTTGGTTAAAGTTTTAAATGTGACATGTAGAATAATTTCAATCCTGGATTTGGTTATTTGTTCTGACAGAATTTAGCAGGAAATCTGAAAATCCAACAATCCCTTCTGTTTTCCAGTTGCTGACTCTGATCAGGGGTGTCAATTGGAAGATTTTTAAAAACAAAAACATTCTTTTCACACGTGCTGGTGGGTTTTAAGGCTCAACAAGTTTCATCAGAGCATCACAATTTTCAGTCGTAAACGCTGTCACTGTAATTATCTGTATGTAGCTAAATATCATATCCAATGTAATCATCACAGTCATTAAGTCTTAAATGGTCTTTCTCAGTAGCTGTTTTTTGGATATTTTGTTGAAGGTTCATTTGAGAACAAAGACTGAATTAAATTAGGTCACTTCTACTTGAAATGATAACAAAAACACAGCATGATTGGGTTTTTTTTTAGCTGTAAATTCAGACACTCTACACTATAATGCATTTAGATACAGAAAGGACTCTGAGGCAGGGGTTTTCTGATGTGTCATGCTGTAAAGGATAAATCTGTCTCCGTACCTGGGCAGTCGGGGGAAAGTCTGATATCAGGCATCCTGCGGATTAAGTGAGCACCATCATCCTAAAGCACAAAACACAAGAACATGACAAAAATGCAGCGTGCCAACCCCCTCTATCATCAGTCTGTTCTATCACTAAACTGTTTACCTGATTGCTCGCATTGTGAACCGGCTCAATCCCATACGAGAAGAAGCCGTCGGAGAACATGCCACTAAAGAAACAACAAGGGAAAAAAAAGACATAAGAGGCCAACAAGCAGAGCTGACAGAAGACCAGTGCTGGATGTTGTGTTAGCGGGCTGACAGTACCAGAGGCCGTGGCAGGTGGAGACAGCAGCCCAGGACTGTGGCAAACCTCTCAGCCTGCCCTGGTAGTAGCAGTGCTCTCCTCCCTGTGGGCACAGAGCTTCATGAAACCACCACTGACACGCTTTTAGACTTCATTAGATTTCGTTGCAGGTCAGCGCCGAGGAAAAACCTCCCTCCTTTTCCCCGCCGTCGTGTTCGCGGCTCAGTTTGTGACCTACTTGTTCGGCTGCACTTGGCTCCGCTGCGCCGACAATAGAGCTGCAGGTTCAACAGACCTCTTTAATAAACCAGAGCTCGTTTTATCCACACGGTTACATCCGAGGGTTTAACACGGAAGAACGGCACGCTGTGAACAGGAAAACAATCCTGATTCTACAGAAGGGCTGCTATGAAATTATAGATCTTAACTGTAAGCATTATTTTATATTATATTTATTTATTATTAGAATAACAATGCTAAATCACACTTGTTTTTGTTTTCATTATATTCTAATTTATATATATGACATGTATTTTTTATTTTCTAGTATTTTTTTAGATAAATTGTTTAAAAAAATGATCAAATAAAATGATAATTATAATGATGCAGCTCTTTATAATAATTCTTTATGCCATTTTTCTCAGCAATTTTTAAATAAATCTTATTAGATTCACATTTATGTGCACGTTTACAACAACAAACTAATTCTGGATGCAAATGAAGCAAATTTTCTCCAACAGGATGGCTTGGCGTAACTATTTATTTGAATAAAACATCAATTTTTGTAAACTCAGTCCACAGCCAGCTTGCAGCAAAACACGTTTTTAGTCCTGTGCGGCTCTACAGAATCATTTGTGGATAACTGGTTAATACTAGAAATTTTAATCAGAATAAATGAGATAAAAGTGTGTCGTTATTAATAGCGCTGTGTGCGTCATTTGTCTCGCAAAGTGTTTTTACAATCTTGAGTATGTTTTAGGTGTTTGATTGTGATTATTCAAAATCTGTAAAATAAATAGTTTAACTGCAGAATTTTTGGGTTTTTTGCTTGATTGAAGGTGTTTGATGGTAACAAACACAACAACAACAAAAAAATAAAAGCTTTTCACTGTAGAAGTTTTAAGTCTATCAGTTTATCAACAGTGTTTGACTGCAAAATAAATAAAGACATAATAAAATCCAAATGTGTCAAATAAAAATGTTTTTTACTATTGAAGTATTGAATGTGTTCGATCACAAGATTTCATTTTAAAAAATCTGTAAAATAACCATTTTTCCAATGTAGAACGTTGAGGTCTGTCAATTTATTGAAGGTTTTTGATCCTAAAAAACTTCTGAAAATACAGAAAATCTTTTTTTTTTTTAACAGCAGAACTTCAACTTTAATTTATTGCTGTTTGGTCGTAATAATTGAGGAATAATCTGTGAAATAAAACATTTTCACTCTGCTGCAAAACATGTAATGAAAATAAATGTATTTGGAGTATTTTACTTTATTTTTATGGTTTATTTTTGGCAGCAGTCATTGCTTATGTTTTTCCTTCTTTAAAAAAAAAAAAAGAAAAAAAAACGACTGCAATAGATGGAAGAGATAAAAATAGGGCATCTGCTCCTTTAGTCCTTTAACCAACCTTGACTATCACTCTGAGGGCTTGACAAGGTTAGAGCGGTGAAGAAGAGCCAGAGGGAGGTGAGAAAAGTGAGAAACGCTGGTTCACCTGAACCGAGCTGAGCTCAGCGGGTCGCTTCAGCCTCACAACAACAAACCTGCGAGTTTTGAGCTCAGAACGGAAATAAAAAAAAAACAACAGAGATAGGTGTTGTCCTGAAGGCATCGCGGCTGCCGCGTCCAGCAGCATCACGTCAGGCTTTTGTCCAGCTGAGCGACAATCTGTTCGGACTACAGGTCGCCTCTCAGCCTCCAAACGCTCTGAGAACCAAACCTACAAACTCCCTGAAATCCCTCCTCGGCGCTGCGGCTCATCTTTTTTTTTTTTTGCATTAACTGGTGTTTTCCTCCTTCCTCCTCTTTGCTCCGCTCTTCCCTCCCTCTTCTTTCATTCTCTTCGCTGCCAGGAACTTAATGACACTGCTGAGCAAACTGGTTGCTATGGAGACAGGCCTGCGATTGGTCAGGAGGTGCTGGAGGAGAGTTTGGAGGGATTGTGGGTGTGGAGCGCTGCTGGGTGGGCGGCTGCTGTTCTACAGGAGAAAACACTAGTCGTCCCTCGCGGACAGCAGAACGCAGCGACATTCCTGCGCTCTGCCCCGACCGGCCAGCGTCGCATTAAAAAGGGGTTTCGTCTGTTTTTCACGCTCTCCTGATGATGCATCTCGGTGGTTTTGCACCGCCGGCGTT